TTTGCCTATTTATTAGATTTTTCACACGATATTAGCTACTATTTGGGGGGAAATTATCCATATTTATTAAGTAAGTTTGTATATTATCTATAAACATGGATCCATATATATAACCTTTGGAAAAAATGTCTCTACTATTTGAATAGAATATACACTTAGTTGTAAAAATTGTACTTCCTTGTGCAATCTTTGCAAAATATCCTTTAAAATTTGCCTTCATGTTTCTAAGCTAAGTGATTGTACTACTTTCACCTCTGGTATTCATTTTTCACTACTATGAAACAAAATGAATAGCATTTGAATCATTTGTAGACCCCAAATTTCTTTTAATGGTACTATTACTGCATGTCTATTACTGCTATCTATTAGCAGGCCAGCAACAAAGAGATATTTCTCTTGAGCATGATGCACAAGAATCATAATTTTGGTTATGTATGGCTCAGCGATGACAGTTATGTTACATTCATTCAATTGATAGACCCTATTTACAATTCTAAAGCAGAAAAGAATGGATTAGCTTCAAATACATTCTGAGAGAAATAAGGCTTTTCAAGCTGTATTTAATAAAAGCCACTGTTTCACACAACGGAAAAAAGAGGATGGAGATGTATGTGTGTGTGTGTATATAGATATAATTTAGTGGTCTTACATCTTGTTTTCTGTTCCACTGCTTACAGAACATGAATTTGAAGGCTTACCTATTATAATGAGATTATTATATTTCCAGCCAACATATGCTAATTAACTCTTAAATTTAATGCCTCTTGGTACAGTTTTATTGTGTGGGATGAGCATTGCTTTAAATCTGTGAGTCAGCTATATTAAATAAGATTCAGAATTTTACCCTGATAATAAAAGACATGAAAACCTTGTGTTATTGTGAAAAATAAGGGAACATTTAAAAAATTATGCTGTGTTCAATAAATTTTTAAAATTGTCTTCTACAAAATTAGAATATTATCATATCTTAAGCTATGAATGTTAACTATTTCAGTCCAAAATCTTGAAAATTTGTTGCTTATGAAAATGTATCAAGAATTTAATCCAGGAAAAAAGCCCCCGTTTATATACACAAAAAGGCATAAAGATTTCTCTATTTATTCTATAAAAATCATGAAATATACTAGACCAGCCACTTTAGCACACAAAAGCAATATTTTATAAAATTAGGAAAACATTATTTAGAAAAATTTCCTAATATAATCTAAAATCTTGTGTATCTGAACATGTATGTAGTTTCATATGAAACTACTCTCAGGACATTTAATTCAGAAAAAAAAAAAAAAAAAACCTACCTATTCAGACACTTCTAGTGTCTGTACTGCATGCCTAAAGTGAACATTGAGGACTCTCTTCTCTTGAAGATAGGAATTAGAAACAATTTTCAACCCTGTTTAAGCTTTGAGAACTGTTCAGCTCACGTCTCCTCAGTCATTCTTTGACTATCCTCCTAGAGTTTCACCCAATACACTCACTTCTTGGTAGTCATTAAAAATGTAAGAGGACCACTGTTGAGATTTTACTCTGCATAACTCATTCCACTCTGAAACTCTGCCCTGTAATTTCCAGCAACCTCAGACAACATGTATTTCCTCAACTCAGTCTGCCATATTCAAGTTTTTATTACTTTCTCTACTTTGTAGTTCTAAATGAAACTTCGGGCAAAAAGTAGGGCAACATCAAGGTCATCTTGTTTGTTCCTCCTGTTTCAGATATCACAGCTGTGTGCTATATTGTCCAGTGTGTGAAATATTTGTTTTATATAGTAGGTAAATTTTCTTTAATTATCTAAAGCATTAGAATAAATTTATCTCTGTTACTCTAATAAGGTCAAATACTATTCTGAAATTGTGTTCTTTTCTGAGACAAAATATGTTTCCAAAAAAATAATATATTTTGGGGTCCATTGTTGGTTATGTTTCTAAACTAGGGGTATAAATTTATTCATGTCTGCCAATTGAGTATCTCAATAGCAATAGGTGAAAAGTAAGAATTTAAAGGATTTTAAGACTCTGGATTGCTTTGCTATTCAATTTGGTTTTATAATGTGTATATGTTTTTTAAATTGAATTAGTAGTTTGATAAGATAAATTAGTGCTTTGGGCTTATGAAAGCAGTATAATATAACAGCTGAGTTTGAATTATTACTGATATGACTAGAGCTTGGCTCTTTTACTACAGTCTTAATCTGTATGGGCTGCTATAACAGAATACCTGAGACTGAGTAACTTATAAGGAATTAAAGTTAATTTTCTCGTAGTTCTGGAGGCTGAGAAGTCAAAGACTAAGGCACTGGCAAGTTTAGTTTTCTGATGAAGGTCCTATCTCTATATCCAAGATGGCACCTTAAATGCTGCATCCTCTGGAGGGGAGGAAGCCCATGTCTTCACATGGCAGTAGTTGGAAGAGCACAAAGGGACAAACTCCCTTGGCTGAGCCATTTTATAAGGACACTGAATCTCATGTATGTATGAGGGCTTCATTTTCTTGACTCCTCCACTTCCCAGAAGACACATCTTTCCATACTGTTACTTTGTGGATTAAATTTTAAAATGAATTTTGGAGAGGACAAAAACATTAAGCCATGGCACTTTTGAGTTGTAGAAAATTATACAAATTACTTATGCTTTCTATCCCTCATATTGCTCAGCTATAAAATGAGGATAATAAAATTACCTGCTTTCCAGTGTTTGAATTACTTAATCAAATTAAATATATGTGCTGCACTTAGTGTTTTACAGTCATCTGGGATGCCTTGTTGCACAGTCTTAGGGACATCATCCACATTGTATTCTACTTTTTAGCACAACTTAATGTTATAATTTGTAATTTTTCTTATTGTTTGTGGGAGACCTCTGTACAAAATAAAAACCCATATATAAATTTAAGACAATATCAAAATTTACCCTTCTCTGCCAATTATATATACATTTTATTTTTTCAATTTACTTTAATATTAAAATACTTTTTTCTCCTAAATCCTATTTTATCATGTAAATTTTATCATTTTCAAGAAATGGTAATATTAGCACACAGTTTTCCCTCATTTTTTATATTATAAATAAGTTCCCATAACATTATATGTAAATCAAATATTTGGAACAAACCCTTGAAAAGCATACTAGTTAAAACAAAAGTACATTAATTAGAATGCTATGGGGGACTTCCACCAAGACAGCTGAATAGGAACAGCTCCAAAGCACAGGTCCCAGGGAGAGCAATGCAGAAGGCGAGTGATCTTTGCATTTCCAACTGAGGTAACAGGTTCATCTCAATGGGATTGGTTGGACAGTGAGTGTAACCCAAGGAGGGCAAACCGGGGCAGGGTGTGGTGGTGCCTCATCCAGGAAGTGCAGTGGGCTGGAGGATGTCCCTCCTCCCCAATGGAGGCCATCTAGGCCTTTTCCAGCCACTCCAGCACTCTGGTTCAGATACTACACTTCTCCCACAGTCTCTCACAGTCCACAGACCAGGAGATTCCTGCTGGGCTGGCAAGCCTGTGGGTTTCCAGCACAAGCCTGGGCGGCTGTTTTGGCAGGCACCTTGGGTTTTCAGCACAAATTTGGGCAGCCATTTTGACCGGTGTCTGGAATGCCTGCGAGACAGAGCCACCCATTCCCCTGAAAAAAGGGGGCTGAAGGCAGGGAGCCAAGTGATCTGGCTCAGTGGGTCCCACCCCAACAAAGACCAGCAAACTGAAACCCACTGGCTTGACAGTTTCACAGCCGGCACAACAGTATGAGCTCAACCTGGGACAGTTGAACTCAGTGGGGGTAAGGGCGTCTGCAATTATTGAGGCAATCCGCCATTACTGAGGCAGTTCTAACCTAACCTGTGTAAACGAAACCTCAAGAAAACTTAAGCGTAGCAACTGGGTGGAGTCCACAGCAGCTCAGCAATGCCTCTGTAGGCAGACTGTGATTAGACTGCCTCCTTGCTGGGCAGGGAATCTCTGAAAAAAGGCAGTAGCACTTCAAGGACTTATAAATAAAGCCTCACCTTCCCTGGACAGAACACCTGGGAAAAGGGGTGGTTGTGAGTTCTGCCGCAGCAGACTTAAATGTCCCTGCCCAGCAGCTCTGAAGGGAGCAATGGAGCTCCCGGCACAGCATATGAG